TAAGACAAAAGAACTTCAGCGACAAAGTCAAAAGACCAATAACAGACTGGGAATACGGATGTGCTGTACATTTAATCATCAATGCCTACTTTTAAATTTACAAATGACTCCTGCAAATCAATAAGAGAAAAGACGACATGTCAACTGAAGAAAACAATGAGTATAAGCGAGGTGTTTGCAGAGATACAGGGAAGACCAAGTAACCGGTGGACAGCAGCTCGAGTTCCAACCCAGAAGAAGCCGCCACACACACACACAGGGTCAGCAGCGCCGGCCGCGTGGTTTGCAGGCCTGGCACAGACGTCACGTGGGCCCCTGGTTCAAACACCAGGGGTCTGGGGAAGCACAGCTGAAACGGAGAGCAGGGTACTTCCAAGCCTGGAGCCCAGGGTTGCGTGTCCGAGCCCCGCACCGCTCTGACCTGCGAATGCAACCTCGCCTCGACGGCGGGAAGCGGAAGCTGGGCCAGCAAGGGCAGGGCCGCCTTCTGACATGTCTTTCAAATGGTGAGGCCCAGCCCCACTGATCCAAGTGCACAGACGGCGGTGACAGGAGTAAGGCAGCGCTCTGGGGGCAGACGTGAGGCCACGCCCAGGAAGAATGCACCAGAAACCGTCCACCCCGGGGAGACCCCATGGCCCCTTGTGGCTTTTTTATTCACTGGGAAGTTCTGGGCATGTGGGGAATTATTATTCTCTTTAAAAGGTGTGGCCTTCCCCAGGGCCGTGCAGTCACGGTGGGTGGGCAGGGCAGGCCTGTGTGGCCTTGTCCTAGCTGGTTGGCCTCAGGCAGCCTCTCTGTGCCCCTGCGCCCCATCTGCCCGATGTCCCCACAGATGATACGTGAGGCTGGGGCTGGCTCAGAACACGGCACGCGATGCACACGCGCGACACGGCCGCAGCCTCCCACCAAATGCAGCGTCTAAGTCCTACTGGGTTCACGGAGCCCATGATTTGCCGACTTCGAGCTCTCTGCCCAGAGTGAGCCTGGCTTTGTGCAAAACGAAAATGAAATTCTCCGTGTGTTCAAGCCATTAAGTATCTCCTCAGATGAGGCTCTGTGCCTTCCAAGATGCTGATTTTGTTTTTCAGGACTGCCTGAGAGCGAAGCAGCAGGGCCCAGAGCCGGGGCCAGGCTGGAAGAAGCAGAGCGCAGCCCTCAGGCAGCCTGGGAGTTCAGCAGACGGCGTGTTTTCCCCATCACCTGGGGACCCGAGCCAATTTGTGGAGAAACAGGCTGCAAAGACACGCGGGTGGGAGGACGCAGAGCGGCAGATAACAAGAGACAGCCGCGCTCCAGCCACAGGCCTGTTTTAATTAGAGCTGCAGAGAGCAGACGCCCTGCCAGGAAGGCCGCCCCAGGGTGAGACGCCCGTCTGGTGGCTCCAGTAATGAGGCCCCAGCGAGGGCCCAGCGCAGGGTGCTGCTGCCTGGATGGCCTGCACCAACATGGTGCCTGCTAATGACCACGTTTCTCGGCCCCCGGGGGTGCCACAATGCTCCCTCCCAGGTCAGGGCAAGCCGGGAAGGGCTCCCATCTCCCTGCCCCAGGCCTGGGCCTGGGACGCGCCCTCGGGGCCAGGCCAGGATTCACGGCATGTTCCGGGGCCGCAGAGCACCCCATGGGCCGTTGCTGAGACTGTGCCGACCCTGATTGGAGAGTAACTGTCCCCAGTGCCCCTAGAAGGACACAGGATGTGCCTCTGCTCACAGCAGTTGCTCAAGTAAGGAGACTGCACCTGCCACCTCCCAGTCCCTCACTGGGAGCAGCTCCACTCTGCAGAGGGGCTGGGAAGAGCCCAGGCATGAGGACACCTCGCTCCGTCCCCAGCTGCGACCCATGCTGCCTGGCCTACAGCAAGGGGCAGGGGCCGCCCCTCATTGAGCCTAGAAACCCTCTTCTGTACATTGAGGCAGGGGACGAGCTGGACTCTCAGAGTCCTTTCTGCCATGTTCTGAGCCCAGAGCAGTGCGTTTATCTCCCTTGGGCCCAGAATGGAGCAGAAAGTGACATTGTAGAGTGGCCTCAGGCCCACACAGCCCCTTCCTCAGACTAAGCACTGAAACTGGACCGTTGGGTCCATGTGGAAGTCTGGGCCAGCATCAGAGGGGCAAAGCAGCTTCAAAGGAGAAGCCCACTGACTTAGTGCCACTCCACACAGCCAAAGGGCCACCAGAAAGATGATGATGGAGACTGTAATGGTGAGATGAGGAGGAGGAAAAGGTGGTGATGGTGACGGTGATGGTGGTGATGGTGATGGTGATGGTGGTGGTGGTGGTGGTGGTGATGGTGGTGGTGACACTGGTGATGATGGTGGTGGTGGTGATGGTGGTGGTGGTGACGGTGGTGATGGTGGTGATGGTGACGGTGATGGTGGTGATGGTGGTGACGGTGGTGATGGTGGTGGTTGTGATGGTGGTGATGATATACCCATGGACATTTCTGCACTCTATCCTTACAGCAACCCGCAAAGTAGGTTTTATTACTCTCATTTGACACTTGAGGAAACAGGCCCAGAGAATGTCATAACACAACTTGTAAATTACATCATACAACTGACTCCTTCCAAAAGGCATTTTAACACACCTTAAGCTCTGTGGCATGAGTGTGAGGTACGTGTGTGTGTGTGTGTGTGTGTGTGTGTGTTTCATGCTGCTTTAGCCTGATGCTATGTTCAGAGTTGTCCTGGTCCCCTCTCTCTCACTCCCAAGACCCAGCTAGCCAGAGCCAGCTCCCTGTAGTCCCAGCTTGGCCCAGGACCCCAGGGAGTTGAGACAACTCACAACAATGCCTAGATTGCCCACTCTCCCGTCTGCTTTCCCCTCACAGGTGCCAATGGCCTGTCATCACGGGGCGAGCGGGGGTGCCTGGAGCCCAGAGGCTTGTGTTGGAACCCTGGGTCTCTTACGACAAGTGGCGTAACCTTGAGCAAGGGACAACCCTTTGTGTTTACAGAGAGGAAAACTGAGGACCCACACCCTCAACATGGGCCTGGAGAAAGCCTTGGATAAATGCCACCTAGAAATGTGGCCATCCTAGAAGGGAAGGCACAGCCGTTTGGAGGGTCGGTGGCCTCTCACAGCTATGTTGCATTATCTTCTGTTAACAAAAGGGCTTAAGCATAATCTTCGCCTTCTTTCCACGCTTAAGTATCTCCACACAAACTAAAAATACCCTGAAGGAAAGACACCGTCATAAATTGACAAGGGCAAAACCACCCCACTTGTGACAACAGGGCGATTTGTCTAAAACCTGAATTTAGCAGGAGGGGTGCACTCGCCCCACAAGTGGACTTATTTATACAAAGGAATATCCTGCTGGGGAAGCGGAGGCAGCAGCAGGCAGCCTCTAAGTCAAGGTGTGCCAGACGCCCTGCAAACTTGGAAAGAATTGCGCTACACTCGCCAAACCGCAGCGGAGCTGAGACAAAGCTGCTAAGCCCAGCTTCTAGCAAACTGGAAAAACCGACGTATTTGGAGGCCACACGGGAGACATCATGTGAAAGGTCGAGAGAATTCTCCGCTGCCCACTCTCTCTGGAGCCCATTCCCTGAACCATCAGCTTGTTTCTTCAGGCCAGAAAAAGGAGCCCATCGGGGTTTCGAGGTGGAAAGTGAGTTTTCCTATGTGCAAAACAAAAGCCCTGAAGCACAGACACACACCCCGTGTGGAACCTTTCTTTCCAAGCCAGCCTTGCAAAGAGGAATTTTTAACCCAACCATCTGCTTCCTCTACTTCTTGTCCACCTGGCTCTCGGACCCAGAAAAGGCAGAGGGAGCCATGTGGTTCTGGAAAGTTGGGGCCGAGGGCACAGGACCCCAGCACAGGCTTCCGGGACGCACTCGGCGGGATGCCTGGAGATATGATTTCTATCAGCTTGCACTCGGCCAGGCTGGCTCTAAACCAAGCGCTTTACTGAGCCCGCTAGTGCTTGGGGCTGAGAAGGAGTCTGCCTTAAACACGACTGCCACCGAGGGGCCCCGGGAGGGGACACCTGAGCTCCACAGAGAAGGGGAGCTTGAAGTTCAGCGGAGCCAAAAGAGAAGCCACGTGTGGTGGCTCCTCAGAAAGTTACACATGGAATGACGGTGCACGCCCAAGAGACGCAAGTCACCACGGCCAAGAGCTGGAAATAACAGACTTCCTCCTCCACTTGTATGCCCCTGTGTGTCACTTGGATTGTGCATAGGACTGTTATCAAAATGTGCTCCATTAATCAAATAAAGAATTACAATTTGCCAAAACTGAGAAGAGAATTTTTAAAACGTTATATGCCCCTTGATCCATGCTGAGAATTTATCTTAAAGAAAGATACAGGCACTCAAAGAAGGGCAGATAGGGATGGTCATGTCATCAAAATGCTGTGTATCGGTTAAAAAAAAAACAACCCTCATGAAAGTCAGCCGCCTCTACAGAAGTGGGAACAGCAAACCATAAAACCGTTACCTACGGAGAGAGGTGACCACACCCTCGTAAGCAAGACAAAACTGTACAATGTGATTCCATTTTGTGACAATACAGAGTTAGGACATGTGCATGAAATAAGCTCTTAAGGATTTTGCCCCAAAACATTCCCAATGGTTATCTCTACAAGTCAGACAATAGAGGACATTTTTGCTTTGTGTCTTATCAAAATTTTCCAATTTTCCGATTATTTATGTGATCACTGCCTCAAGCATGGCCTCTTAGCCCCTTCGCAACTCACAGGCCCCGTTTCCGGGAAGAACCCTCGCCCCATAGCCACCCGGAGGCCCTTCTAGCCCATGCGACTGTCACCGCTGGGCTCGGTCACCCTTCCCCAGGACACTGAGCTCCTGGGGGCAGCAGGACAGATGGGAGGTTTGGACAAGCATTCCTACCCCGCCTCCCCTCACGGTGGCTCAGTGCACACAAGGCAGACCCCTGCGTGCGGAAGGTGCTAGAACGTTAGGCCCACGGTGACCTGGCAGGAGGGGCCATGGCAAGGGACTCCGTGCTGCCTCCGCCCCTCCTGGCTCTTACCTTCTCTCGTTGTCGTCCAGGTGAGCAAAAAGCACGTTCCTGGAGATGGCTTTGGCCAGCGCTGTCATGGTCTTGTAGTCCTTGGGGATGACCTGCGGGGAGCAAATGAAAGCCAGGCGTGTGGGGCCCTGGGCAGGCAGCAGGGGGGCTGGCACAGGAGCGCGTCTGTGCGGCCGTTGCTAGTCACCCGACTGCACGCACAAGTTTTTTGTGGCCTTAACAGCCTAGTTCCGTCCCCAGGTCCCACCCAGGTCACTTCTGCTGACATGTCCCTCCGCGCCCTCTGGCCTGTGACCTCCCTTCCTTTGATGACCTTGACAGGTTTGAGGAGTGCTGGTTGGTTATTTTGCGGAATGTCCCTCAATTTGGGTTTGTGTGGGGATCGTGTCATGATTAGAGTGGGGTCCTGGGTTTGGGGAGGGAGACCACAGGGCGGTGGCCAGGCCGAGTTGGAGGAAAGAATGTGATGTCGATGGAGAAGTCCCAGCAGGCGGGCTGGGTGGGTCAGGCCTCGGGGTTGGGAAGGCCAGAGTGGGCCCCACACCGCCAGACGCCGGCTCCTGCCCCCACTGCCCCCAACCCGGTCCGCCCCGGCCCTGAGCCTCTGGCGTGGGGACAGCGGGGACAGAGACCCAGGGCTGCCGCAGCCTGCCCTCCCACCTTCCTGACGTAGGACACGGCGTCTTCCTCCGTGTACACCTCCGCGCTCACACCCCCACGGCGCCGGCGGGCTTTCACCACCGGGTTGGGCAGCGTCGGGGACACGTCCTCATCGTGCGAGTCGGACTGGGAGGCTGACTTCTGCGCCAAGGTCTGCCTGTGCTCCTCCTGCGGGGACAGGGACGGGGTGAGAGGAGCGGCCGCCTCGGCGAAGCCCCACACACCGACCGCACGCAGGTGAGGCCAAGGGACCCCGCCGGACAGGCAGAGGAACCCCAAGCTCACCCTGGGCCAAGCTCGCCCCGCGGCCTTGGCGACCCTTGTCCCTCTAGCGCCGTCCAGGGCTCGTGATGGCCAGCCGCACCCACCCCTCCAGCTTTGGTCCTGCGCGCCCTGGACTCCAAGGGCAAGTCCAAGCCCACCTCCTGCATTGGATACTGCCCACCACACAGCCCTGGCTACCCCCGTTTTCTGTTCACTCTGGCTCTGAGCAACATCACCCGGTGCAGACTGCAGAGGTCCCCACAGGTCCCCGACCTGCTGGCCCCAGGAGGCAGGAGGCCTGGGCTCTGCCTAGCGCTGTCCCCAGGCGCTCACGGCAGATGCGCACAGGACACAAGGTGGACGCACAAGAGGGAAACACATACTTCTGTCTTCTTCCCTCTCTTTTCATTAGTTTTTTTTTTTAATTTATTTTATTGAGGAATTGGGGGAGGGAACAGCATTGGGGAATCGGGGAAAGGGAACAGACAAGTTGCTGTCCTCTTGTTCCTCAGTCTGGTTTGTGGAGGACGTCGCTCCACTGGCCCGTGCTGGCACGTGATCACTGCGCTCCTCCGGGCTGAGGCAGATGGGTCGCCGGCCATCCAATGGCCGCTTATGGCGGCTCATGGCAGCTCACACCGTCATTGCTCACACTGGCTGCCCGCCACTCACAGCAGCCCAGCTCCAGGTAAAGCCGTCATTCACCATCTTAGCTGTAGAGAGCAGTGCCACTGGCCCATGTGGGATCCGAACCAGTGGCCCCACTGCTTAGAGCTCACACTCCCAAGCCAACTCTCAACCAACAAGCCACGCGGCTGGCCCCAAATCATTACTGCTTTTTAAAAGCTGTTTCGACAAGCAGAGGGCATGCGATCCAGGGTGCAGAGACACGCAGTGAGAAAGAGGCCCCCACTGACCCCCAGGCCCCGCCCCCCGGTCCACTGGGCTGCCCCAGGGTGGACTGGCATCACGTGGCCAACAGGCCCTCGCCTGTCTCCCCACGTGCCTAGGACACGGCCTCCGTCCCCTCATCCACCAAGGGCCACTTCCCCAGATACCACCGGACACCTGCCACCCCCTCAGTCAGCCAGTGGAACAAACTAAACTCGATGCACGCTCACCCAGGAGTCCCCCAGCAACCAGATGGGGTGAAGGGACAGACACACACACACATCGGGCTGAAGCAAGTCTCAGGACTGTGTAATTCATTTTGTGTATCTCTAAGGGACGAGACAACACAAGTTGGTAACTACAATATGGCCTCAGGGATAGAAAAGACAGTCTGGGGAATATAATCAATAATGTTGTAAATATTTCTTAGGGGGCCAGATGGACTCATGTCTTGTTAGGGAGACCACTCCATAGTCGGTGTAGAGGCCTGACCACCGCACTGTATTTCTCAAGCTGATGTTGAATAACATTGTATGTCAACTATAATTATATATACATATAGTCACGGGGTGTGGAGTAAAGTGTGGGAATAGAATCAATGGAATTGTAATAGATAAGTATGATATTGGGGGTAGGGGGGCAGTCTATGGGGGAGGGGGATTGTTTCTGTGCGAAGGGTGAAAAGGATAACTATTGCATTATTCTGTACACCTGAAACTAACAATAAAAAAAAAAAAGAATGTTTGGTCTCGTGAGTGAGGGAATTTCACACTAAATTTCAGGGGTACAACTATCCCCAAAGCTTCCACAGGGACACCAGGGACTGACCACCGATTCTCACAGGAACCCTGGACGCTGGAGGACAGCGCACAGAGCCCTCCCAGTCCGGCGGAAGCTTACTGTCCAGCCCCAGCCACACTGTCATTCATGTTTGTGGCCGTGAGAAAGGCACTTTCAAATACACCTATTAATTGTCAGTTCTTAGAATGAACCTATAGACAAAGCATAAGAGACAAAATTGTGGTTTCTGAAATAATATGAATACAGACAAAGCAAACTGAACAATTTAGATAACAAACAGGTAGTGGGACTCTGGAGAGGAAAGCTAACGGGGCAGACATGCTACGACCTTCACCTTGCAAAGCACGGCACAAAGAGGACACAGGCTGTTTCCACCTGCTGGCTGATGTGACTGCTGCTGCTGCGAGGCTGAGGGGACAGGGACGTGACCCACACCTGTGTTCAGCTCTCGGGCTGTGTACCCAGGACTGGAACTGCAGCTTGACCACTAGAGGAGCTGCCGGACTGGTCCTCCGTGTCTCCACCATTTCCTGTTTTCTGGCTTTTTCTCTTTGATGTGGTCGACGTGAGTTGGGTTGTGGACACACTGACTTGGACGTAACAGTGAGACTGAACTTGAGAATGGCCCACAGGGAATGGCCCATCGGTCTGGGACAGGGACACAAGATCCCTTCTGGACGCTCAGCTGCAAGGAGTCTCACAAGGCTGTCCCCTCCAGAGGCAACAAATCTGTTCCCTCGAGGCGACAACGCTGTACCCCCAGAGGCAAGCAAGGCTGGAGCTGAGGGAGAGCATGGGGAGAAGAATGCAGGGTGTCCAGCACCTACTGCGCATCACCCAAGCGCATCCCTGGTGAATTCCTACACAGGCTTCAAAGCCCATTTCAAGGTCAGCTCCAGCAAGAAGTCTTCTGATCCCCCTCTTCCTCCGTCCACCTGCAAAGCATTTTGTTCACGTCACACTGCTCCAAAATGACATGTGAACGACCCACTTGGCTGTACCCCTGTGCCCCTCCCCCATGCTACAAGCACTGGTTGAAAAGAATGAATGAATGAATGAATGAATGAACGAACGCACTTGGTCAAAATGGGGGTTTGATCTCTCTGTCCTCACACAATAAACCTTTATGACCACAAACCACACTCAGCCACTCACAGCTGCTGCGGGCAGAGCTCAGGGCTGCAGGGGCTGCGGGGTCAGCGAGAAGCAGGACTGACCCCTCGCACCTCAGCCAATCACACAGAGAGCTCGGGGCTCAGCTCAGGCCAGTCGTGCCTCCTCAGAGCCGGGCTCTGGGTGCCGTCCACATCCCCTTGTTTCGTGGTGGAAGGCGTGGGGGTGGGGCCAGAGCAGGTTTCCGGGGAGTCTGGCAGGGCTACGAGACACAGCCCAAGAGGGTCCACAGCTACAGGAACCAGTCAAATGAAGCAGCTGTGTCCAGGGCGCGACACCACCGAGGCCTTCGATGAGCATCTCCGCGGTGCACGGGCCCAGGCCACTTGGAAACGCAGATCCGTGCCAGCTGTCCCTGCCGCCACCAGAAGCTGCTTTCCCCCAGGAAGCTGTGGTCCAGGCCTCATTTTCTTGAGCCGATGAGCACCCCGGCACAGGCGCAGTTTTCCATCTTTGGCAGCAAAGGGTCAAATTAGGCAGGTGGCTCCAAACATGAAGGCCTCTTCAGGATGCGTGGAGAGGAAACGGGGTGGGGGCCAGGGCCCACCTAGGGTGTGGTGGGCAGCCTCTGCCATGCCAGGTCACCGCTTCTGGGTGGCACCCTCCCCTCCCCATCTCAGGGTTCCAGGAAGACGTCTCATTCTTCGGAGTCCCCTTCCTGTCAGCGGTTTCTCTGCTGATGAGCTGTCTGGAGCAGCAGGACGGTCCAGGCCTCGGGGTCCTTCTGAACGACAGTGTGGGAACCGCATTTTCAGAAAGCTGAGGCTGGAATCTGCCTCTGAACCGGGCAGCTCAGCTCCAGGGACTGTCCCTGTGGGTCCCCGGGGCCATAAACGACGGTCGCTGCGTTCCCTTACCACATTCTTCCTTGAGGAGGAATGCCGGCTGGAGCAGCCCGCAAGGGCGGGAGGGGTGGGACCTGCGGAGGCGCTCCGGAACTGAGCGCAGCCTCTGGAGACGTGGGAGCGAGGGACTCCTCCCAGGCCCGTCTCCCTGGGTGAGGACACAGCTGCCCTAGGTCCTTACGGGGGTTTCTAGGGGCAGCCGGTCATGCCGGCCTGAGTCTTCACGTGGGCCTCGCCACCAGAGGTGGGGCCGTTACCATGGGCGCCAGGAGGCCGCGGCCGTGTCTCTGGGCCCTTCTCCAGGAGGAGGTATCCGCACAACCAAGGACCACTTGCTCATGGCCCCTCTGTGAACGCTTAAGTCCGGGGGGGGGGGCTGTGGGAGCCTGGGGGGGGGTTGACAGTCGCCAGCCCCGGCCAGGAACCACAGCCCTTCTTTGCAGCATCTGAGAGGAAAGCAGGCCCAGGGGAGGCATCCCCGTCTGCAAGGCCGTTGAGGGCACGGGGCGTGTCCAGGGCACACAGCCATTCAGCGGCAGGGTGGGGAGAGAAACAGAGCTTCAGTCATTTATGTAGCACCTGCTGTGTACCAGGCCTCATACAGAGAATGCAACAGAGAAAGAGGCATGGTCTGTCATGAAGGGGGTTTCGATCTAACAGGAAAGAGACATGTGAAAGGTCATGGCCAAATAATGGGGTGAGCGCTACCGAAGGACCAGGTACGAGGGGCTGTGCAAGCAAAGGGGGGCTCCCAGACCATGCCTGGGAAGAACTCAAGGAGGTCCTCCTGGAGGTGACCCAGATGAGAAGAGCTGAACCCAAGGGACACCCACGGGGGCAGCTGTGAGTTCACCCCTGCTCAGAAACACACCACCCTTCTCCCTGAACCCCTCCCCGACCCCTGGGATTGCGTCCTTCACGCGGCCAGCCTTCCCCGATGCTTGTCTGCTTCACTCATCTCTTCAGAGACTCAGCCTTGGGGTCTGCTGTCCGCGACTGTTCCATTTTCGTTTCATGAACTTCTTTTATCGTTGTTTTCCCTGGTTTTGTTTTCCCTGCTTTATTCCTCTCTTTGTGACTTCTCAGGTGGCACACGGCACTGGGCTGAACAGGGTCCCTGAAAGACTCACGTCCACTGGGAACCTCAGGGTGTGTGCTCTCATTGGAAGCAGGATCTTTGCAGAGAGAGTCAAG